CGCCGGATCTAGTCCTGCAATTCGAAATGGGCTGAGGCAGACCCCGTCCCATGACCGACTTCCCTCCCTGTCTTCCACGGAAACCCCCATGACAGTGCAGGTGCAGCGGAGTCAAGCCGTGGAGCATCACTTGCGGGGGACTGTCACTCGCCCTTCAACTTCTCCCCAAAACCTAAGGTCCCAGCCAAACTTCACACCCCTTGGGGGAGGGGGCCTCAGAGGTTCTGGGGTTAAAACAGTTCGTCCTCACATCGACTTTCTTCTCACTCTCAGCAGAGTCGGGCCCGTCGGCACAGGCTGAGGCCCGTGCAAAATGGGGACCCAAGCTTATTTGGATGCGCCGGGGCGCTACAAGGCAAAACCGCAAAACATCAGCCATGGTCTACTCACTGCGCCGCCACCCAGCTGGAGCTCGCCCCTGGCAAAGGTGGCACAAAGTCCGCCCCCACGCTGACGCCTCCTCCCAGGTGTCGCACAGGATCGGATCCCTCAAGCGCCCAGCACCAGAGCGCGCCTGCTTGTGGCTGCACAGCGGCGCATCGTTCATCATGCGCAGGTGGATGTTCGAGCGCACCGTGGTCACGTAGCCCACCGTCAAAGGCCACGAGGGTCCCACCCTCGTTTCCTGCCGCATCCGCTCCACCCACATCCCGGTGTCCTTGTCGCGGGCGATCCTGCTATACTCGATGTTTCTGCGGGCCCGAATCCACGCCTCCGACTCCGAGATGGTCTCCCGGGTCAAGACTGCACGGGCCAGGATGCCCATTGCCGCGGCCCGGTGCCGGCCGCCAACGTCTGCTGCAGCACAGCCCACATGTTCTTCCAGCCCTCCGTGCGGTCCCGTGGCTTCGTGATGGGCATGTACACCGGGAACGCCCCCGGCAATGTCACACCCCCCCGGCTCTCCGGGCTGTTCGGGAGGCAAATGATCTGCAGAGTCACGGGCGGGAAGTTGGGCACCTCCACCTGCTTCGGGAGTCCGGACAACCACAAACGGCCACCCTTCGCATTCTGGTAAATGCACGTCGCCACCTGCGCAGCGCGCTCCTCCGCAAGGGCATCAAACAGCTGGTCCCCCTGGGCCACAGGGAGCACAGCCGCCGGACGCGAAGGCTGTGACGGGGCTTCCGAGTCACCCTCGGGCCAGGCGTCACGCCTCCTCCGCTTCTCACCAGGGCCGCTCGGCTCTGGCGGCCGCTTCTGGGGCACCGCCTTGATCTTGGGCGACAGCATCATCGCCTCAGCACTAGCCGAGCCACTGCTATAGCGGCCCCTGACGGCCGGGCCGGGATGGACGCCTCCGGGTCCTCCACCATGACCACCTTCGTCACCCGGCACACGCCCGCTGCATGCTTCCCTCCACAGGCTCTCCCCGTCAAGCGGACACATGCGCAAAGGTGTGCAAAACCGCACACTCGCTCCCCGGGGCATTGCCCCGATTGGAACGCCGGGCATAGCCTCTTGCCATCACGCATCACTGCGGTCAGGCGCCGGCCGTTGAGCGAGGCCGGCATCGTGGTAGCTGGCTTAGCCGCCTCTGCCTTGGCTTTGGCGATCCGCTTGAGCTTCTGCGTCAGGGCAAAGCGCTTCTGAAGCTCCTTGGGGCGTGGGGGGGCCGCCCACACCACCTGGGCGTCCCGCGCCTTGGCTTGGGCTGACGCCGCCTGGCCAGCCTGGGCCGCCTCCTGCCGGCGGGACCAACTCCCAGGACTCGTGGTGGGTCAGAGCCGCAACCGCTCCCACCATCCTGTGCTTGGCCAACAAGGACGCCGCGTACTTGGCCCCGCTGTAGTGCAATGGCATGCGAGCATCCTCCGGGACGTCGCCTTCAGTGCCGCCATGTCGAGGGCGCTGAACCCCACCAGTTGGCCCACCGTGGTACCAACCCGCCTGAACGAGTACGATGACACCATCGCCGGGTTCTCCACCAAGTCCGCAAACTCATGCCGGACCATCCGGTAAACATCGGACAGCGACCACGGGATCCCCTCCCGACGGAACGCCAGCCCGCAGTCTGCCTTCTGCTTCTCCGGCGCCAGGGCGAAGTCATGGAGCCAGGCCGCCGACCAGTCCCACCCGGTTGACAGCTGTCCGGGTACGCAGAAGTCGAAGCCCTTGCGAAGGCGCCGCTGCTTCCCTTTGATGCAGTGCGCATGGACCGTCGACACGGTCACCTTCCGCACCTCCGCCCGAGTGAGGTGCTTGTGGCGTAGAACTCCTCCATAGAGCATCCATGCCGCCAGCAACGCTTGCCAGCGATCATCGCCCGCGTGTAGAGCTCCTCCATCCGCTGCTCCATCTTCAGCAGCATCACCGGTTCCACCACGGCTGCCTGTCCCCTGGGCCCTGCCCGGCGCGCCTGTCCCGCAGGCGGCGTGAGCATGCTCAAACCCAGATCCACCCTCGCCTGCTTGGTGAGCCAGCGCAGTGATTGGGTAGCACGGGCCGGGGCAGCTGTTCCTTCGTGGAGGAAAACATCAAGGTCGACCACCTCCGGTGGCAGCGGGCGAGAACGCGCCTGCATGAAGGTGATCACCTCACCCCATGTGCGCAAGGCATTCAACACCGTGGCCCTTTCCGCCTCCGTCACCAACCGCTGCGCCAAACGAGTACATGATCCTTTCCACTCGCGCCGCAGCTGCTCCGTCAGGACTCCTGTCGGCTTCATCGCCCCCATGTCCTGCAGTGCCTCGCCGAGCCGCTGGACCTGCATCGTGATCGCCTCCGGTTCGTCTTGAACTGCACGAAGGCGTACCGCCGGAGCCCTCGAAGGCCGAGGGGCCAGAGGCCGAAAAGGAAGGTGAACAGCCGTCCCCCGGCTCTCACCCTCGCAGCCGGCAGCAGCTCGGACTCCTGGGCGCTACGCACCCGCACCCACGAGTTGGCCAGGTCCCTGCCGCCAGTAGTCAGCGCCTCCTCAAACGAGCGGAAGGCGAACGCAAAGTCCGCATCATTCTGCAGCCCGTACTCGCGCCTCCACCTGGCGGTGTGCTGGGCGCCCACCGCGCCCAAAGCCGACTCCGGGTCCCACTGCCCCCCGGCGTCCCCCGCCAGGCGAGCGTAGATCCCGGTCGGCACAGCTGCCATGGCGCTAAGGATCCCCCAGAGAGACCAAATGGCTGAGGCATTCCTCGCAGATCGGCCTGTCCCGGATGACGTTCCTTGTGAGCCACTGCCCCAGAGCCTTCCCGGCCCAAGCAGTGGCCCCATCGCGACTCTCCCAGTCGCCGGAGGGGATCGGCTCATATGCCGGCTCTCGCCAAGAGACCCGGCCTGCCTGCCACCTCCTCCACGCCCAGAAGACGGCCTCCCGATCGAGGCCACACTCCTCGAGGCCGGCCAACTCCACGTAGCCAACGAACCGCGCCACGTGCTCGGGGACCAGCTGCTGCACTCGCATGCCCGAGTCAACGGCCCGAAGCTGATCCTCATCCAAGTAGTCCCGGCCCGCATAGTAAAGGTCCCAAGCTGCCTCTGGGCCAACCTCCGCTTGAACCAGGACTGCGCGTTTGGTCCATGTCCCGAGCCACGGGAACTGGAACCCCCCACGCATCTCTGTGCACCTAGCACACCCTTCCACCATGCAGGGAACCTCCCGCAACGACCCCAGGGAATGAATGCGAAATTCAGAGGTCTCGGTTGGGGGGAGGTGCACCACCACCACAACAGCCCGCCACAGCCGAACGGCCTGGTCCCGTTCCCCACGGGCCAGCAGTCCTTGCACGTAGGATTCGAAGTCCATGAGGGCCGCCGGGTGCAACATCCGCGCCTGACAATGGGCCACCAAAAGGCCTGCATCGGCGCCAGACATGCTGGAGTCCCACTCCAGACAACAATATGACCGAAAACCAAAAAGGTGTCTGCCAATTTGGCTCAGTCTTGATCCAAAATGGCAGACCCATAACAATTGATGATACATGTTCACCCAATGCCTGCCAAGCTCTAAACATGGCATATATGCCAGATTTGCCCAAATGGGTTCAACCGGGGCCCGTTCAAAGAAGCCAAGGGGACCCGCCTCAGATGATGGGTTATATGAACCCCGGCCCATCGAAACGAATTCGTGGGCTTGAAACCATGGCAACCACATCTGGGGTACATTAAGCAAAAACAAATATGTTCAGGTGTTTCATATTTTGTCTGCCTCCAAACAAAAACGGCAAGAGCACTAACATGGGGCAGACCACCTCCAACTGGAACCACCAACATGGGTGGTGTCTCTGCATTTGTCGCCCGTTTTCGCAACTTCAAAAACTTTCCTGGGCAAAAGACAGGCCCTGTGTTTGGTAGCTTCTCAAAATCGCGCCCCCCCCTCCCCCCAACCAAAAAACGGTTTCCTCTTAACTTTATTGGCAACGAAAAGGGTTGCCGCGAATCCCATTCTGAGAAACCACCATATTACGGGTGTCTCTCATTTAGGGGAACCCTAAAATGCGTGGTTTTCCTTTTCATCTCCCTTTAAACCATCCCAGAAAAGGTACTTGGCTGCTCGACCAAGTTAGTTCCCCAGTTAAAAGCCTATACGTCCCTCCAAGTAGATCAAACCTTGGTACTAGTGGGCTATACCCCTGGCTCAGAACCAAGTGCCATGGGTCTGGTACGCCTTGGTTTGGATTGGATGGGTGGATAGCTTCTTGCAGGCGCCCTTGAAACCATACCAATAAGGGGGAGGGGGGTGGGGGGTCCCCAATTCCAGGTATCTAGTCTTCCCCAAAAATAAAATAGGTTACCACAAATGAAAAGTGAGGAATCCCACCCACTAAACCCAGTAACACCGTATGAAAAAACAGGTGTTGCTTCATCCGGGATCAACATTGCCCTTTTCAGGCTGGGTTAAGGGGAAACCAAAAGAACGCCACCATTTCTATTTTATGTCTTGCTTTATATCTATGTTCTTTTGATTTTGTTTTGTTTCTTTTTTTGGGGGGTCCCTAGAAAAGAAAAAAAACACACCCAAACAGAACAAACACACAATCAATACTATTTTCTGCGTTCCGGGCCTGGCCAGCAGCCTCCAAGGGCACGTCGGAGAGCACTTGGGTGCTGCTGCCGGAAACCGCCTCGGAGGGCGGGGTCTTGGCGGAGGCTGCTGGGCGCTGGGCTTGGAGGCACTCGTGCGATAGGTAGGGAACCTGGGAATGAACCCAACCTTTGGTCCCCGAAAACAAAAAAAAGGAAACCAGTTGGATGGTTTTTCTGGGGGGCCATTCCATGTCTCATTCCCTGCTGAGCACCTGCAAGAGTAATTAGGGTATAAGCATATGCCCACAGGTTTTTAGGTACCCATTTGGGGTTGGTAACTTGAATGTTCCGTCACCTTACTAAGCATACTGTGGATGGTTGCAAAATCCATTTCGCACCACTTTGAAATCATGGTTGAAAATAAAAATAAACTTGGTATTTATAAGGAATCAATCATTCCAGGCGAGGTGCAGGATGTTGTCCATCCACAGTAGTTATAACTATGGCAACGGGGTTGGTCCGCTTATAACCATAATCTTACCCTATGTACTAAGTTGGTTGAGCATTAGGGTTAAGCGATTCAACTCGTTGACACATGCAAACACTCAGAGCACTTTCAACCCCAGCAACCTCGTGTTGGCGGTTTTTTCCGCTTCGTTTCCCATTAGGGTTCCATTCGGGTTCCCTTTAAATCAACTCCAAAAAAGGAACTCTCAAAAAAGGACATCCAAATCAAATCAGAGCACACAGCTACGGTTTGACCATGGCAAAGGGCCGGTCGAGATGCGATCTCAAAAAAGTGCCCTAAGAAAATGACACACCCAAATAGTAGGGGCCTCAAAAAACAAGAAAATCGCACCCAGTTGTGGGTTGCTTGGAAGGTAGCTTAGTTGACCAACATGGGTGCTTGTTGTCGTACTTATCAAAACAAACAATCCACTGTTTGTTGGCTTAAACCACCCCAAAACGCTGTCCTTGACATGCCTTCCATGGTCAAAGAAATGGTTTCTCATCCCAGACCCCTCTAGTGGCTAATGGAAAAACCGGGCACTCTGCTTTTTGGTAGTTGATACAATATACGGGGCAACCCCTCCACTACAAATATTGGTCGTTCTACATGATGCAAACACCACAATTGAGGCAGGAGGTCTTGAAACTGAACGAAGACAAATTGTCACTGGGATGCTCCCAAGCGAGCAAAGGGTGAGAAGGACCTTTTGTAGGGGTTACGGAAAAGTGATTTGGGCCTCTCTTGTTTTGGGCTTCAAAACAAACCAACAGCGGGCCAATTGTCTCTAAAAGGTGCCAGAAGGCGATTTGCCATACCCACAGAATCGCCAGCTGTGAGGTTTGACCACTTAGCGCTTCTAATTAGGCCTCGAGACTGAGGTCCTATCGCACACGCGGGTGTTATGCCTTTCACGCTTGACATATGGCTGTGGGTCAAAAAGCTGGAGAGCAAAATGGTACCTTGGCAAATTGCAGCCAAGACTAAAACCCGCGTAGCCGCAGTTTAGTTTTGAGCCAAATATGTGAAATATGGTGGGAAGCATGGGTTCCATTGAGATTCACTGGCCATGCAAAAAGATGAAGCCTGGGGAGGGAGGCGGAAAGCCCAGATCTGCTCTTAAGCTCTTCACGTCAACCCCCCCTGCGACCCCAGCTCCGAAAAAAAGCACGCCCATCTGTCTCTGGCTCATGAGGGATGGGTGCCACTGCAACTTAAAAACCAGGGGAGCCTTGGAGAGATGCCTTTCCAATCCAAACAGTATGGTAGCAAACACTGGTGTTTTTTGTTGCAGCCCCCAACTAGAATGAACAGAACCAAAAAAACAAAAATCCTGAAAACTTGCCCAACAACAGTGAAGATGCGTACAGAGTCCACCCGTTGTTTGCTCCAATTGGTGCGATTCAAACACAGCCCAGCAAATCGACACACCCATTTCTTCTGCCTCTGTACCACTCACTGTTTCATGGATCAAAGGCAGACAACAGGGGTCAACATGGCAACGTGAGTCCAACCCGGCCTGGACCACCTTGCCGATGGCCGAGGGAGGCGCGATGATGGACTGGACACGCGCCAGCGAGCACGTTCCGTTCCGGTCCGAGCGAGTTTGACACACTCAGCTTCCAGCCAATTGGGGGTCCAAACCTCCAAACCACCAACTAAGGGTTACCTGAGATGCCCAACAAATTATATAAAGGTTAAAGATCCAACACAATAGCAGCCAAAATTCCAGCCAGTCCCCTGATTTGTGTGGTTCACATTGTGTGACAACCCCACCCCATATCGCTCCAACTTCAACAAGTGACAGCTCGATGGTTTGACCAAAAACTCACACTAGCGAATTGGGGGCTTCATACAACTGATGTCCCTTTTTCAAAGAGTCTCAGGGGAAACCTAAAGGAAACAAGCGGTTTGCACTTCATCCACTCGGAAGAACTATAAACGGGATATACCAAATGGTGTCTTTATTACGGTACCCTGAAAAAAAACAACAACAACGGTGTTCTTCCTGTTGGTTTCTGAAAAGAAGCCAACAACTGGCCCCATCAAAAACCACGCATACGCGTATATTTAAATGGGTGTCATCTGTGTAGCATCCGAATGGAACGCACTCAACGGGTCCCAGGAAGTTTCCGCTGTCCCAAGCGAACCTCGAACCCCAACGCAAAGATCTTTCTGGAACCAAATGGTTCAGGTTGTTTTAGCTGGGTTTAGGGTTGGTTTAGGGGTGGTGTTTGGCTGTTTTGGGGTTGGGTGTAGGGTTGGTTTGGGTGACCTCACGTCCGAACGAGTGGATTGACCAGAACAACTCTAAACTAGTTGTTTGCCACCAAATCGGTCCAAACCCAGCGCTTCAAGTTTCCTCTGCAGTAGGTAACCAGGGATTCTTACCTCTAGGTTTTATTTTGGATTTTTTCCTGGGTACCTACTATAGTGGCAACCGAGCACAGGGCCAAAAAAAGTGGCTAACATCCGAAACGGAACTCAGGAGGTTACTGGACAGCAACTAAAACACTCACTCCCATCCTCCAGTCGGTTCATCTCCGTGGTGAAAGGCAGCCCGCTGTCAATCATCTCGTCCAAAAGCAAATACCTCGGACGATTTTACACATCCGGGCGGCAGAAAAGCAAAAGTGTGTCTGTGCCTGTTGGCACACCTTTTTAGTTGTTGAAGGGAAGCTGTGTCGGAACTTTTTTTCAGGTAACTTGAGGTACCCTGTTGGGTTACGTGGCAAGGGAAACCAACAGGAAAGCAAACCTTTTTTGTGGGTCCACCTATTCTGACACAAACCCACGTGTGCCAGGGTTGACAATGTGTGCAAAGTAGGCCATCGTGACAATGAGAAGTTGGCTAAGGGACCCCCTTGGTATGTACCCTTTGTTGGGGTTGGTTTAGGGGAACCAAAAGCAAACCAGTTGTTTTGGGGCCCTCTACTTTGAGACAAACCCAAATATGGGCGACACACTTCTCAAACGGGGTTCCCTATAACTGTGTCCAACCAAAAACATCACCCCTGCAAAGGGATCCTCGCCTGAAATGTTCCAACAAAAGCAATGTTTAAACTCCCAGAGAAATATAGGGCCCGCGTCACGGTATGTTGATGAGAAAAGTGGCAGGTATAATAATAGTGGCACACAAAACATGTTGGCAAACACAACTAAGCTTCGAGGTGAACTACAACAATTCCGTCTGTCTGCAGTGAGACAGGGCGTCAGCAAACCGACACCCTTTATGAGGATACAGCTTCATTTGCCCAGAAAAATGGATTCCGCAATGATGCGATCTGCATTTTTTACAATATTTCCAAAACCTGAATTAAGCGATCCCTGAAGTAAAAGACCTTTCTCATGGCTTTCGCTCGTCATACCCTCGAATTGGTGAAATCGCAGGAAAAAGAAGCACCAGGAGTCTCCATGACCCCCAAATTTGGGGGTCATTAACCCCATTCTTCAAGGGTCATGGAGACTGCAGGCAGATGTGAGCTCGCCTGTTTCAGTTGCCAAGTTGCACCGTGGAGAAGTTCTGGCGAAGAGAATCCTCGCTGACCTCCCCCAGGTATCTCAAGAGCACCTGCATCACGGCTGGCGGCAACTCGCTCCAAGTGTCGAACTGCTTCCCTGTCCCGGAATTCATCTGGGTCTGGATCTCTTACTTGGTTTTCACTATTGCCCCTGGTCCGAATAATTTGTTATTCTTGCAAGTGAAAGAAAAAGAAAACATGTTCCCTCTAGTTGAAGGTTCCAAATCGAAGCAAATGGCAAACAAATGTCCCCGAATGAATTGGGTCCGCGGGGGGAGGGGGGGCGGGTCGTGGCCCTTGAGGCCTTGCCAAGAGAACCAGAAGGACCCTTCCAAAGGCCCAGAAAGACCCTCTCAACATGAGAAGCTCCGAAAATATAAGTTCCTAATTTTGCAAGCAACGTCAAAGCATGTGGCTCAGTGCTTCCAGTTTCCACCATAGGTCACCAAACCCATGGCAAAACTTAGAGGTCGGGGTCCTGAAGGGTTACCTAGTGTAGAGGTAACTGGAAGCGGTGGGTCGGGTTTAATGAGCCCAGAACTGCCCTGAGCCCCCGAAAGCAGAACTCGAAGTAGGCACGTACCTGTGAGAGGTGGCAATGCTTTCGTTTGCATGCGTGGGGGCGATCGGTACTTAGTACGCGGTTAGTAAGCCTGGTTGTAACCCACTTAGGAGACTTATGACCGTGGCAATTGGGATATAACTAGGCTTTCTACCCACTTGCTAAGTACCATGCCCCTTTAAGTAGTACTTTCAACACATCTGACTGCAAGGTTCTGCAGTGTTTGTGCCTAGTCAGTTGCAGTCCCCTCTGGGCAAACTCAAGGGGAACCTGTCTGCAATGAGGCTGTTCCCTCATGTTGCAGACATACCCGTTCTTCTCTTGGGTCCTGGCTCATAAAAAGAGGTACACAGAACATCATGGTCTTTGCTTCGATTCTGCTTCAGATTAGTTTTAAAAAGCATAAGGGGGCGCCCCAAAAAAAAGGATCTCTACCACGGTAGAAATCAAACTTGAGGCCCAGGGATCCCAGTTAGATGATGACAATCTTTAGGCAAATGGCCCTGGAGATTCCGCCGAGGAATTCCTAGGCGTTCTGGTTCTCAACGCGTTTGAGGCGTTTTAGGCGTTGGTTTGCGCTGTTATGTTTATTTTCTTGCGTGCAGTTGCCCCATTTTTTTGCGGGTGCTTTGCGGCAATTCGCGGGCGCTTCCTGTTTCAAGGCGCGGCAATTTGCGCGCGTTCCAAAACAGGGTCAATGCCGAGACTTACTAGGAATTCCTTGAGGTTTGAATCTGGTGAAATCTGAATCCAACTGTGATTTTACTGGTGGCCTGGCTGAATCCCAGGGACCATACTTAAAGGGGCGATCGATGCAAGGTACGTCAGGCAAGTGGGTAATAAACCACGGCTATGTCCCACAAAAAAAAAATCATGGTAAGTATCCTAAGTGGATACCCAGGCTTGCTCACAACTTACCTGTGGTACCAAATCGATCGCCCCCTTCAGTAGTCTAGTCTACCCTAATAACCTCCACTCAATCCTAAAAGCCTAAGCCTGAGGGAACGGCTGGGAACAACCAAGTCATGATGGTCTGCCTGAATCCCAGCGATTTAAAGGCACGCCTGGAGGAAACCGCTTGGTTTGAGATGGTTTTACATAGAAACCAAGAGGAAGCCAATCATGCCGTGCTTTTTGGGATGGACACCAAGAGGAAGCTCGTGGTGGGTTTACTAGTGCATTTTTGGGGATACACCTTGTAGATTTCGACAGCAATGCCCCCTGACTCCTCCCCGCTTGAACCAACGCCTTAGGCTTTCCAAAGGCGTGGTTCCAGGGAGCAACTGAGGCAACTGCTCAACTTTTGGGAAGAACCAAACTAAAGGCCAACTCAGTTGTTTAGCGGGCCTATGTTTGGCGAGTTCCCCACTATGCTCCAGCGGTTCTTTGCGTGTCAGCTTCACATGGGGGTCCCTGTTGCCACACTAAACTCACTGAACAAGCGTGGGTTTGTCTCGAAATTGGAACCCCGAACTAGGTTGTGTGCTTTTAGGTCTACCTTGGATGCGACACCAAGAGGGGTAGCAGCCAAACAGACCACCTAATAACCCTCCAAAAATGCTTGGCGAACAGAAAATCTTATATGGTGTATGTTCATGTCTTACATTTGAGATCTTATTATCTTATATAAAAGACTTGCCCATTATCTCCTCTCTCTTTCTTGGTTGCCGCTTTCAAGGTTTGTCAACATGACGTGTTTTCTTTCGTACAGTTCTAATGCACTTTTCTTTGTGTTTTGCTGTTGTTAATTACTGACATGTTATTGCGTACCAGAGTCAGCGTGTGGTTTGGTGTGGCTTTGAGGTTGTCAACATGAGTCAGCTGACCCAGTTGCCCATTGGAAGTGGCGTTGCTTCTGAAGACGAAAGTCTTTCAAGCCATCTCTTGGCTCGAACCCTCCCTGGGTCGTTCTCAGCTCCTCATTGGAGAACAAAATCATCAGTTGACTGGATGCTGGCACAAGAACCTCCAAATCTTTGAAAAAGAGACGCACTCTGCAAACAACCACACTGGGTCGAACCAAACAGCCATACACCGAGCAAAGCAATGAGTCCCCTTGTTTGGTTGGTTTTGGATCCCGCCAATCCCTTCTTACTCAGGTGTTGGGCGTTGCTCGCTTGCATTGTGGTGCGTTTCTGTCTTTTGAGGCGGTGCTGAGCTATATGGATGCGGTGCCTGTGCACAAGATTCCGGGCTGTGGCAAGGTCCCCACCACCTCAATGCATGGAAGGGCGTGAACTTCTGGGTACCCTGCATAAGGCGAAGGTCCTTTTAATACCTTTGATTCTTCAAATTAGCGTTTTTCAGATTGGAGGACTGGGAAACTGAGGACAATTCACATCTCGCTTCAAAGATTGAAGAGATTGAGGATAATTCTTTCATTGCCAGCCATTTGCATGAAATCACCAAGGACGTCCTTGCCTTCAGTCTTCAGGACACACCTGCAAATCACCACTGAAACCGCAAAGCGTGCCGATGTTACAGAGCAAGGGCAGGCGACAGCCAAGCACTGGGCTAGCTATTGCAAGCAAGGCCATAGCAAGGCCTTGGTTTTGATTTTTAGGCTGTTGTCGTCTTCCGGTCCTTGCAGTGGGGTTTACAGGTTGTTGGGTAGTTCGGCCAAGCACTTGGTTTGCACAGGTTTGAAAATCGGCTTGTCTTGCCGTACGTTGCGGAGTAGAGTAGTGAAGGGAGCAGTTCTGGGCCATTTTTTGTGCCACTAACAGTCACTAGCTGCAGCGGTGGTCAGTCTAAACTCCCATCATCCATTGTCAGCTGTCGGGGCAAGACTCTAAGATGCAACCACGTTCGCAGCCAAACAACCGCATGTGACATATCTGAATTCCACCAACCCCGGGTCTAACGTGGGCCAAGTACCCCAAATTCAGGTGTCGTGACAAGTTACGTCCAAATGAAGGGGTGACTGACCCCACGGTAGAGGGCTTTTGGCTCTATCTGAGACCCCAAGATGGACTTGCTTCTCCACTTGAAACCGGAAAGAGGCCTGAAAATAGGTGCAACCCTGTTCAAAACGTCCACTCAACAGAATATAAACCAAGACGTCCCTTCTTGGGTTTGTGCTGAAAGGGACATCCACCATCTGGTGTGGGTTGAGGTAAGAAAGAAGACAACCCCAGCCGGACCCAACGACAGCCAAATGATCTTCGGTGGGGTGAGTCTACTCATGCTTGGAGATCCAACTTGCCTGGTAGATGCGATCCAGAAGCTCAAATACAGCCAGCGGGGGCTCCTGACGCGGTGCTCGAAACTCAGGGGCGCGCTGGAGACCCACGGAGGTGCAAACTGGGTACCCCTCAGTCGTTGGTGGATACTGGTGGTTTGGGTGTGTTTTTCTTGAGGCTACCCAATTTTGGCTGGCTTTCACTGGAAAACAAAAGCAACACCAGCATTTTGGGTTAAAGGGCATACACACACAGTTTTGGGTGAATGTTGGTGGATTCTTTCTTGGGCGATGTTGCTGGATGTTGGTGGGTTTTTTTTGGCATCTGCTATTGTAGATTTCGCTGACCATGGCCCGGTTCACTTTAGCATATCTCCGTTAGTTCCACTCAATGTGCCGGAGCATTAAGTTCCTCTCGGACAACAGCTTAATCACCACTCATTTCAAACGGAACTAATGACCAATCTTCACACTCAGCATTCAGACATGTCAAGCACTTTTTGCCCATTCTCAACACTTCCTCTAGATAGCAGCTAAAGATTGTGTGACATCCTCATCCCCATCCGAGTGGTTCAATCGGGCGCCCACGTAGAGTAATTTAGAGAACCCTCAAAATACAGCCTTCCCGCTATGGACGGAGTACTCCCCATATCAACCACCGCTCCCCTTTCCCCAAAAGAAGACCCAACAACTGGCTTGCTCCAATCAACCCTGGGCAAGAGGTGGTTAGACCTTTTGACGGTTTAATGGCAGAGCCAAATGCTTTCGAAAAAAATGGACCCCCCAAAATGGCTGTTGTCCTGATGGTTTCCCTTCGAAACCACAATAAAAGGGGCACCCTCAAAAAAAGACAGACGCAACAATTTGTTCCACGTGGTCTCTCCTTTTGGGCGATTCTATGGAAAGGAGAACCATGTTTACGGCATGTCAGCAGCCTCGTGGGACACCACAGCCAGGAAGAGCATCTTGTCCTCAGCCCGTACGGGCAGTTGGGGGTGGAGTCCCAACCACTCAAAAGGGCGATCGGGCGCTTAGTAAGTGGGTAATAACCATGGTGAGATAACCCACTTGCCGTGGCTGTAAGTATCCTAAGTGGACTATAACCAGGCTTACCAACCAGCTTCTAGTTGCCCTGCCCCTTTAAGTAGCCGCTCATCTGGTCCTGATGGATTCAAGCCGACCTTACAATCCAAAGACACGGAGCTCCGGATGGAAATGGAACCCTGGACGGAAGTATGAGCCTCCCAAGCAATTTCTTGATCAACCCTTTTCGCAAAGGAAGCTCGTCTTCCAAACGGCATCTCTCCATGGGATCTCTGCACCTCCACGGTGGAATTCCTAAATGGTCTGGGCAAATGACTATAGTTCGCATATGCCAAAAGTAATCCCCAAGATGGATAAGCTTCCTGGACCGCCCCCCAAACAAAAGAAACAAACACTTGTTTCCCCTTTTCTACCGCTTGTTGCTTAGGTCAAAGGCAAAAAAGGGCTCATCAAGGGGGTCCAGGTTGTTTTAACAAAGTGGTGTCCATTTATTGAAAAGGTCACCGGGGTTGCAACGCCCCAAGAAAAAGGCTAACTCCACTGAACGGGGGGCTTATAAGAGGGTTATGGCTTAGGTTGCGATCACAACTTACGTTCACTTAGTAGTGGGGAACCACACAAAAAACGACAAGGGGTTGAATCTACTAAACGGGGGAAATGGCCTTGCCTTGCCCGGTTGTTGAGATCGAGCAAGCCTGAAAAAACTCATTCTGCAATGCAAAGTCCAAACTTTTTTGGGCTTGACTGAAATGACAAAGATACCAACCGACCAAAAGTTGAAAGGTTTTGCCAACTCAGCAGCCAGCAGGGAGGGTGTCAAAAAGGCGCCAGGATAGCAAGTGATTAGCCATCTGGAATATCTCCCACTAATCACAAGGTTGACTCCACTTAGTGGGACTTATAGACGGGTTAAAACCTATATTATTAACTTGCCGAACATCCAAGTATGGAACTCCCGTATGCTCGGCAAGCTTCAATTTGCTCAAGCCTGGCCGATGACCAGGCTTAGTGGTCCAGCTCCCTTCGTCTGTGGTGCCCTTGGGGTTCTGTTGGCAAGAACCAAACCTTTGGGGGCTACTTAGTAAGTGGGTAATCATAGTCCTATCACACACAATTACCAACCACTTCCCTGACGTACCGAATCGATCGCCCCTTTAAGTACCAGACCTTGACCCAAAGCTGGCTCCAGGCAGTACGAAAAGCAGGATTTGGGCAAAAAACATACTTTGAGGCTCGATTTGCAAAGTGAACGTAAGTTGTTGGTAACCGACTGTGGATGGTTGCGAAAATGACTTCGCACCACGAAATGAAACCAAGGGAAACCATTGTTGGTTGGTATTTACAGGGGAATCATCTGGCTTCTTTTCTTAGGAAACTGCAAATCCGTTGGATGTTTGATTCGCCAAGTTCATAAGTGGTTCGCCGCCTGGGGTATAACCCACTGACAAGGTTAGCTCTTAGGAGCACGTATAAGCAGGTAGCTTAGGTCACTGCAAACTTACCAACTTGGCCAACTTAGGTTCTAGCCCGCGCAAAGAGAGTCCCCTCGTTCAGTGGAGTTCACCTTGCTAGTGGGTTGTAAGACGGGCGAACCACTTACGAACTTGGCAACACATCCAAGTATTGGAATTAAATCATGCAACCTGTCCTCTTTTTTCTTCCAGCAAATTCTTCACTTGGCACACGTCGCTTGCAGGGCCCGGGATCTGGAATCCTAGGGTCGACCCCGATCAAAATAATGTTCAAAATGAATCTCCTTCTCCAGGATGGGTTCCACGGGTAGTGAAACAATGGTGGTTGCATGCACCCCTGTTGTTTCAATGGTGGTTTGACACTCAAGGGCATTCAAGGGCAATCTGATATTGACCCACGAGAGTAAGCCCTAGGTGCAACCCATTTTTGAGGGGAACCACCCAAACATTGGGACACCCAAAAAAAGAAGGTTTCCTTTAAAATACCAACCCCCAAAATGGTACCCTCAAAAGACGCACAACCATAGATCCGTCAGGCTCTACTCCACTGCAGTTCGACGTGAGCATCCCGGCGCCGGGCAGCGGGACGCGCCGCGTGGAAAGCGACAGCAACAACTACAAAAGCAGGTTGCTTTTGTCTCAAGCATGTGGAAAATGAAGGGACCTGGAGTCTCCATGACCCAAGAAAAATGGGGTCATTACCCAAACTTTTGAGGTCATTGACCCATTTTTAAAGGGTCATGGAGACTCCAGGGAGACTCGTCAGGTGCAACAAAACCATCCTTCCACTAAGAACCGCTAAGACGCGAGCGAAGCGGTCCATCTGCCAGGCTCCGAAAAAGACAGGCGCCAGCCAAGCGCGCATCTCAGAGGTTCAGGCTAGACCCCGCGATGGAGGCGTACTTGATGCCGTCCCCGGTCGGCGCCAACGCCTCAAAGAAAGTTGAGTCTGAGAATGAGGCTGACCACACACACATTTGGGTATGAGCCAAAATTAAACCACCAGGGGAACGCAGGTTTTAGTCCATGGTTCCATTTGCCAGGGTTCCATTTTGGGTACCCATTTTGAGCCACAGCCGTTTTTACACACACACAGACACACGTTTACACAAACACAAAGACACGCATTCACACACACACACGCACACATTCACGAAATTTACACATTCACACGTACACACGCATTCAAACATTTACACTGCTTGCACACTTACAGCAAAAGGAAAGCACAAACGCACAGACAGAGTCAGCCACAAACGCGCAGAGGGAGCTAGGCCGCGGGCCATCCAGGGGAACATCCAGCGGAAGCCCCACAAGCTGTTGGGACCTCGGAGCGGTCGATGGGTCGATGGGTCCCGGTGGATCCAGTCGAATGTCTTGGGCTTCCATTTGGTTTTGACCCCTGGAAAAAATGAACAAATATTTCCAGTAGTGATAAATTCCTTCTAAAGCCAACAAGGGAAAATAACAAAAATACTTTTCTGCAAATGGAAGTGGGTGTGAAGATGGGGATGGGCATGGGTCTTGTGGGTTGCAGTGGATCCATCTAGCTGGGATTGCGGCACCGGAGATAAAAGCCGAAAGGAAAGTAGCGAAGGCTTAGCTGTGGTAACTTGCATCCCCTGCGGCTTCTCCAGTGGCACCCCCCGAGTTAACTCGGGGGAAGCCGTGCTACACCGCAGGAGCATCTGCCTGGGGGGGTGGAGTAGAATCATACCCTGGGGATTCAAACCGCAAAAAAAAAGCGGAACACCATGGGGCGAATTTCATTTATGGCTGTGGTGGTCAAAACCGTTTTGGGATCCCATTTTGGGGGATTCGGTGAATTCACCACCCATTTTTTAGGCTTCCTATTTTAGTGGGGATTGGGATTTCCACTTCTTGCAAGGGCTTTTGAAAAGCCAATGGCCATATAACCACCGTGGTTTACCGTGGTTTACCTAAGGATCGTCATCCCATTGGGTCCTTGCCATTCTTTTGGTGAACAAAGCTCATGAAACTGGGCTGCCCTCAGTTTCCCCGCTAAGAGCTTCACTTGTGTAGCTGGAAACCCCCACTAAACCCTAAACAGCTAAAAACCTACCTAGAGTCTCCTTCTGACCCTTGAAAAATGGGGTCATTACCCAAACTGACCCAACATTGTGGGGGTCATTGACCCCATGTTTAAGTGGTCATGGAGACTCCAGGTAAAGGCACGGCTGGAAACCACCATGCTAGGGCCTGGCTTTTCTGGGTCTTGAGCCAGGCACCTGCCGCCACTTACCCCTCCGCCCAACCCGCTGGGGCCCCCGTCCAAAGACCTCCTGACAGTTGCGGCTCCGCCCCACGTCGTAAGGATTCCGGAAGAACCTGAGCGACCCAAAAAGGTACCCGGATCCCCGTTTCCGTTTTCCTGCCTTTTTACACCTTTGGCAGGGATCCTTACATTGTACACCTGAACATTGCCTTGCAAACGGTGGTTTCCCTTTATTTTAGTGGGAAAAAGCCAGGATTCAAATGGGCAAATGCATCTTTTAAGGAGCCCTGTTTAGGCCAAGGGCAGGAAAAACAAGAAGGAGCAACTTGGAACAAACCAGCAAGGCAGAATGGACAAAATCGTCCTTTCAGCAAATGGAAGAAGTTCAACGCGGACAGGAGGGCGCCAACGAGAGCTCCAAATTTGCAGATCGGTAGCTCGCCGTTGCGCCGGCATTGCCTCCGGCGGATCATGTTGATCTGAAACTCGATGGTGGTCTGGTTGGTCAAGACCTGCCGCAAGTGAGCAAAAAGGCCGCCCTTTGTGGTTTGGAGGTGTGCTTTGGAGTTGAAAAACCAACCCGTTGAACTTCCGACAAAAGAGACACTGAGCTACCTGAGAGCTCAAGGGACTCCCTGGGGGCATAAACTCACTGGCTCCGAGTCTGACCAAGCTCAATGGACCAGCCGTTCGGGTGCCTGTTGTTCCGAGACCGTTTTGGGGTTGGGTTTAAAACCACAAGGAACACACCGGGGGTCCAAATCCCTATGTTCACATAGGCCCACCTGCTCCCCCAAGGCAAAGAAGCAAATGCCTTTTGGGGCGATTCGATCGTCACCACTCAGGGGCCGTGGCACTTGAGGGTTCTCCGACTGGTTGGAGTCGCCAAGTTAGTACATACTGAACCCAGTGCTCTCTAGGCTTCACGTGATGGCTTCCCCTGGTTCCCGTAATGGTAACTGGAAGCATTGGGAAGTTTCAACACCAAACAAAAGTGGAGTTCAGCTTGTTGGGCTGTAACACGGGTGGCTAAACACTTGCTACCTGGTTCGATCCCGGATCTGCTTTTGAACCGCAAAACCAGGCGGATGCTTAGAGGTCAAAACAAGTCGCGGGGTTGGAAACGCAGGGCCAAAGTGACATCCTCCAAATTACCCTCGAAAGGATGGTCATCCCTCTGCTTGCCCTTAAGACATCACCTCTACCAATGAAAAGGGGAAAACAAGCAGACCCGCGATGGACTTCAAGGGGAAACCACACCCTTAACCTCCCCCCCCCGGCCGCATAGAACTCCGTCTTTTTTGGCTGGCGATGTGCAGATGCCAAGTAAAACATGACCCCTTCCAGAAGAGTCAGGTGGGAGCACTGGTCTAACCTTTTGATACTTTTACGGGCACTTGGTGGGTAATAACCCTGGATATAGTCGACTTACCATGGTTACAAATCTCCGTTCAGTGGGTTATAACCAGGAAAACTCACCACTTACAAAGTGCCCCTGCTCCTTTCAGCATGTACTTGGACCCTCAAAATTCCAACTTAAAACTGCATGGTTGTTGCAACCCCCATGGGGCTGAATTCCCGTTGTTGTTTTCTTGTTTTCTTTTTTGTATTTGTTGCCTTTGTTTTTCTTTTCTTTTTTTTCGGGTTTTCAGGGTGGTGGGTCTTCCCATTTCGCCCCTGCTCGCAGGGTTCCGGGGTTCCGAAACTCGCCCCGATCGCCGAAGGGCCAAATAGAGGTGGAAGCCCCCGAGCATGCACACCGCACACAGGATGGAGGCGCAAATCCTCGGAGTCGAAGCTGCGCTGCGCATCTTCAACCAACTTAGCAGGTGATAAGCCTGCTTATAAGGGGACCAATCCCAAGAATAATCTACTAAGTTGGCTTGACATGCCCAAGGAGGATCTTCAAGCCTTCAAGCATAGGTGTACTTTTAGTGGAATTGATGGGTTTCCCTCGTAAATGGATGTCGAAAATCCTTCGGGATTCCAGGCACTTTGGCGACTCGAGCTTCGATTCGCTGGCTCGTCCGGTTTCTGATTTTTCGAGTTGCTACCCTTTTAGTGGAAACCGAAAGGAAACCAACACATTTTTGAGGGGATCCCCTGCAAAAGACACACCCATTTCTTTGATATAAGAGCTATACTACCGATTGTTGTGGAATACTAAAACCTTGGGCGACCAGTTGAGTTGGCCGCAAAAAGAACTGGTTCCCTTCGGATGCTACCGCGTGATTGTCCTTTGGTGCAAGCGATCAGAACGCGTGCATTCGAACCTGTTTAAGGACCCCTTTTGTTGTCGAATACTACTGAAAAGGCCAGCCAGTAAGCCAGCAAGGCACAAACAACGGCTGTTTGGTCAGCCTTGCAAGGCCAAACTGTTTGTTTGCTTAAAGCTTGTTGGCGCCAAATCAGATCAAATGCGGTCAACTAAGGCCTTAGCAAATGCCGGTGAGTGGGGTGGAGAGGTGGGAATGTGGTGTGTGTGTGTGTCTCATGTTCACAAGCAGTCATAAGCCATGGCAAAGCATGTAAGTCGTGGTGTGTGTGTGTGTGGGTGTGTGTGTGTGCGTGTGTGTGTCTGTCTGTGCGTCGGTTTGTCGCGTGTGTGTGTGTGTGTGTGTGTGTTGTGTTGTGTAGTTGTTTGGTTGTTTGTTTGTTTGTTTGCTTGCGAACTTGTTTATTTGTTTGTTTGCTTGCTTGTGTCTTTCTTTGTTTATTTGTTTGTTTGTGTGCTTGTTTGGTTGGTTCGTGGATTGTTTGGCTGCTTGCTTATTTCTTTGTTGGGTTATGTCAGCCGTGCGAGCAACCCTCAGCTCACGCTTGGTTCTACCAGAAAGGTTAAGGCTTAGACAGGGTTTAACCTAATTCCTACGGACTGACCGTTGTCCTAGCAAACTGTACAGGGTTACCAAGGTTTGTATAGGACTTACAAAAACCACCATAGGTACCGGCCACTGTCATGCATCCAACCTAACGTTCCACCTGTTCCGTAAACGGTTTAGAACCACCTAGTAAAATGGTCGTTTGGGGGGGTGTTCGACGCTGCTCCAGCTGAATTTAAGCTGAGGTGCATGAAGGAGATGAGGACACTCTGGCGAAAGGCCCGTGTTCCTCTTCTGCCCCATGTAAAGATCACATCCTCGAAGCACACTCCAAAGACCTGAGTCGTCATGCCGACCCATGTTTTCTAACCCTTTGCTTGTCCTTACTTGGTTGCTGTTGACCCCTCTGCAAAAACTTAACTTTTTGTGGGCCCAATTGGAAAATCCGCTGTTTCCCAAAAAGTTGAAGTCCAAACTCACAACCAAATGGCCATACAGTTGAAAGGGGGCGGAAAATCCGTTGTTTCCCAAAAAAGTTGAAGCCCAAACTTACAACCAAATAGCCATGAGTCATGCTTCAAGGGGGCGCTTCGAACTTGGGATTCCGATCAATAAGACGAGGAGTGCTGTGCACAGATCCGCTGGGGAGACTACGAGAAAACATCTCCGCGATGATACAGTCCAATCAAGTCATTGAAGGACAATGAACCGTGGATGCTGCTGACAGAGAACAGTTGGCACATGCTTAGTTGGGTGCTTTTCAAAATAGGGGGTCCCCCCCGAAATGGCAGTTCGGCCGCTTTCCCTTACACTGACTACCTACCAAAAGAGGTCCACTGTCTCTTGCGAAACCAAAAGTGGTAGAACATGCCAGATCCCGAGGGGTCTCTAATGCAAGCTCCGGTGTCAAATGCAAGCCAGCGACCACGACGATGAACGTGCAGGCCGATGCGATGAAGAGGAGGAAGAGGCAGAAATATCTGTAGTTCCCAAAACCTCAGCGAGACTTTCACTAGGTCCTCCAGTGGAGAGGTTAGAATAAGGGTACCTTTTTTTTTCTGTAATCTATTTTAGTAGGGGAACCCTCCCCTAAAAAAGGGTAAACGGCACTACTGGAAGACCTTGTTCAGGAATCGACGGGCTCGCTCTCATTTCTGCGTCCTGCGAGAATATTTTTAAACCAGGAGCATCCGTCTTTCTTGCACCGAAACATGTCACATTTCTCAAGGGTGACCACAAATATGTTTGTGTGTTCAAGGGGGACCCCTTCAAAAAAAGAGAGTGTCTTTTTCCGTTTAGCTTTCCCGGGCCACAAACAAGGGAACCCTGAAAACAGACAAAAAACCAACGCTCGGCTTACCTTTACCAGGGTTTGCTTACGCTGCAGACATGCCGTGGTATCCTTTATTGAAAAACGCGGGTTCCTTGATGCTCAACCAACAAAACACCCACTCCAAACACTCACTTCCAGAGGGGATGGGCCAAACAAAAAAACGGAAAGTTTAAAAGTGCAGGACCTCAGAAAGTAAGACTAACAACAAACACCACAAACACTCTTTGAGCACATCCGCCAGATGAAGAAGGAATCCGAGAAAAAAACAACTCCACGCGACCCGTTTTGCCTTGGTCAAAGTTCGCGGGATTCAGGCAGGCCGGTCATTAGAGCAAAGCAGGATGGCTGCAAACCTAACCTAAGAACCGAACCGTAAGAACCGAACCGCAACCGAACCTGACCGTTGCACGAACCGAACCGTCCAAAACGAACCGTAACCGCCACCGTAAACCGTAAACCTAAGCCCCGAAGGGTGGAAGATCGAATAGTTTAAATTGTGCCTTTGCCAAAGGGCTTTATATTTCACCCGGTGAGAACCGATCCTTCAGGAAGGCCACCACTAAAAATGGTTGGGCTGACTAAATCCGCTCGAACGCATCATCTAAATTGGTCCCTAAGGGCCTGATATTTGTCATCATGTTCGTCCCAGGGCAATACGTGTTGGGTCCCAAACAGTTTGTGTACTTCCCTAAAAGTCCGGATAGATGCCATCTTGAAATGAGATCCCCCAAGCAAAAAACTAAGGCGGTCAACATGTGAGAACAACCTATGCGAATACTGTAGTCAAAGTATATATTTATACATATACATATATATATATATATAGACACGATGTATACATATATATATATGGTACGGCATTGCCAGCTCCCCCCCCAATCCTAATGGTCATGGGTCAGACAGGTACCCCCCCCCTGTGGTTGTGGTCCTGTGGTTGGGTTGTGGTGGTTTAGGGTTGGTTTAGGGTTGGTTTAGAATTGGCTTAGGGTGTATTTAGGGTGTATTTAGGGTTAGTTTAGGGTTGGTTTGTGTTGATTTAGGGTTGGTTTAGGGTGTATTTAGGGTGTATTTAGGGTTAGTTTAGGGTTGGTTTAGGGTTGGTTTATGTTGATTTAGGGTTGGTTTAGATTTAGAGGTTTACGGTTTAAGGTTTGGTTTGGGGTTTGGTTAGGGTGTATGTAGGGTTGGTTTAGGGTTAGTTTAGGGTTGGTTTAGGGTTGGTTTATGTTGATTTAGGGTTGGTTTAGGTTTAGAGGGTTTACGGTTTAGTGTTTGGTTAGGGTGTATTTAGGGTTGGTTTAGGGTTAGTTTAGGGTTGGTTTATGGTTGGTTGCGGGTTGGCTTGTCCTGGGGGGTGGGGGTGCCGGGGTGTCGGGGTGCGAGTTTAGGGGGTCGGGGTGAGGGCGGGACCGTAGGTGCCAGGATCCGGGGGCTCGGGGTCTCGGGTTGGGGGGGGGGGGTCCTGGTTAAACCCATACCATCTGGGGGGGGGGGTAGCAACACAGAACACGGGACCATAAATATATATATATATACATAATATATATATATATATGTATGCATATGTATGGTACATATGGACGCCTGCATCTACATGCAGGTGAGCTCGCCTGCTCGCGCAAGAAAAACGTGGCATGAGCACTGGCGCCATGGCCAGCCGAGCCGCCAACGCAGTTGTTGATCCACCTCGGCCGGTCTCGGATCGCAGCTGTTTGTTGAATCTAGAAAACGGTTGCTTTCTGCTCCCCTGCTAAAAGTTTAACTTTTAGTGGTTCATGGAAAACCCAGTAGTTGGCAAAAAGTTAAAGTCCTAACATCCAAGCAAAATGCACCAAAGTAGGCGCATCGGTTTGGCTGTGGCTGTTGCGGATCCACCCCTGTGGAATATTAAAAGAGCACAGAGTACTAAAAAGGGACCAGCAGGGGGATGAACAGGTGAATTCCACAAAAGGCGCATCCAAACCGTTTTCTGGATTGAAAGGGGGGGGTGGAGCGGTGGTGGGTAAGTAAATGGGAGTTGATCAAAAGGTTCTTTACACAAGATGACCACCAGGGTAACCACACAGGAGATAACTTTTACACAGTAGAATTGGCAATACCACTGCTCGGGGGGGGGTCGCATTAAAGAGAGTCCAACGATACATGGGAAAAGTTATGGTCAGTTTGGAGCCGAACGGCAGAACAGTGATCGACCCACAAATGTTCAACAAGTCCGCCTTCACTAGAAGCAACACTTTCAACAACTTTACGAGAGCACTTGGGCTTGCTGTGGATAGGCGTAAAAAAACAAGCAACTAACAGAAACAGGTGCGCCATGGTCGATTCGCTGCGGACAACTGCGAAAGAGGCTCCCCAAAACAGGATGGGAGACATAGTTCCCTGGATTTCGTGGGCAAAACATGTCTCATACGTCCGTAATATGAACCAAATTAACCAAACCTCACATGTGTCCCTTCGAAACCACAAACAGTTGGTACACTTCAGGTGATTTGTCTAGTGGGTTGCCTTTTGGTTTCCCCTTCAACAAACGCACAAACGCGTACCAAAACGAGCCGCCCAGGTAGGCTACTTGGGTGCTCGGCCAAGTTTGTAAGTGGTTAGCCAGCTGCGCTATCACCCGCTAATGCCAAGGTTAACTCTACTTTGGGGGGCTTATAAGCAGGTAATAGCATATAGGGTACGATCAATACTGACTAACTTTGCAACGAACACCCAACTGGGCTGCCCTCAAATCCCCCGCGAAGTTTCATCTTGTGGATTAAATACGGAAACTACCACTAAACCAACTAAACATATCTAAAAAGCTAAGTTGAACCGGATGGCTGGGCTTGCCACGAAGACCCAAGTACTAGCTTTGTTGAGACCTAAAATCCGGCCACGGGCACGGGCAGTGATGGTCCATCTTCATGACGCAAACCCCGCAGACGCTGCAGTGGTGCCTCAGGCGGTCACAAGTCAGCTTCCATTTTGCGCCTTTGCCCCTAGGGAAAAAAGTGAGAAAATATGTCTAGTAGTGAAATCGATTCCCTTTAAAAACCAAAAGGTTCGGGGGGAGCAAACACCATCTTGGACATGGGTGTCTTGACTTGAACAATACAGTGTTTCATATAGGGTGTTGCAGCAGGGTGTTTCTTCAGCAAATGGAAGTCAGTGGGTGTTTCAGCAGGCAGTCACCAATAAAGGGACCTGGGTTGTTCGATTCGCCAAGCCGGTAAGTTGGTTGGTGACTGTTTGGATATGTTCCGGTTATGCCCACTTCCTGAGTGGATGGGCCAAGAAAAGTCCAAACTTGTCATTTACCAGCAACATGGTCCTCCCAAAAAGTTTAAGGTGCAGGAACTCAGGAAGTGAGTATAAGTCCCCGTTCAGTGGAGATGATCTTGTTGTTAATTTCTGAGTTCTAACCCAGGTGGCCTTCTCCACCTACGCGAAAGACGTGATTGAAAGTGATCCAAATGGGCCAAGTGTCTTCTTTTGAGCTGGTAACCTTGTGTTTGTACTTTTAAACAAAAAGGAACATCACCCACTTTGGGGGGGGTCTACGGAACGACACCGATATGTTGAACTCTCAACCAGCCAGGGGACAAGTCTTGTCCAAAGGGGTGGAAAAATGGGTCTAAACAACTAGGTCCTCCAGTGGAGAGGTTATAATTTGGTACCAACCTTTTTCAGTCGTCGATTTTAGTAGAACCTTCCCAATAGAATAATTTGGTACCAACCTTTTTCAGTCGTCGATTTTAGTAGGGGAACCCTCCCAACCAAAAAACAACGGGCGAGAAAGGGCACCCTTCCGCTGGGGGACCTAGACAAGGCAGGAGCCCCGATCTCTCAACGCAAACACTTTCGTCTTCGAGAGAAAAAAACGCCCGGAGATGGGTTCAACCCATGACCCTTATAAACATGACCCTCGTATTTTCCTTGAAGGGGACGGGAACATGCCCACATTCCCTACCCAGCACCTGCAAGTTTGAAAGGAACATTGTTTTTGGACTTACAGGGGCGATCGATTCGGTACGTCGGGGAAGTGGTGATCGTAAGCCTGGTGATACAACCCACGTATCAGCCATGGTTATGTGTCTCCTAATTCGGTAGGTCATCTCGCCAGGCTTGCCATCACCACTTACCAAGTAGCCTGTTCCTTTGAGGGCCAACTTGCATACCCCAAATGGACATACCAACCAAAATGAGCGGTTGCACATGGGAAAGAAATATTGTACATACCCCAAAAGGTGGAGTATGTCTTGGGGTAAGTGGTCCCGAACCAAGTGCTTGTGGCAAAATGACACCCGAAGGTGCCAAACTGCCGAAGTCGCCCGTGCAAAACCGTTCTTTTGCAAACAGCCAATTGCGTTTTGACATTACCCGAATGACGTCCCAAACAGCCACTCCCAACCCACATCTGAAACCGGGACCCCTGCAAACTAGCATGAAACCCAAGAGGGTCCTTGCCCCAAAAGGAGACTTCCCTACTTCTCAGGTATCTTAATTCATGGTTCTATGTTAATCCAGGGATCACTGGATTTCCCCCAATCAGCTCCAAGTAACTCGTGGATTCCTTTCAAACCATCGCCACTTTCGGTAAACCAAAAAGGGAAATGGCTCAACCCTGTGCCGAGTCTTTGCCCCTGGTGCTCAGCAGGTAGTGAGACATATGACCCCAAAAAACCGATCCAACTGCTGGCCATTTCTCGGAAATCCCTGGTTCATTCCCACACCCGGACTCGGAAAGTCATTCCCTATCGCACCGATTGCAAGGCAAGCCTGCACCATGCTTCTTTTGGCCGTTGTCATAATCCCAATTGCTACCGATACAGAGGTCCTTAACTTCGAGAAACACCCATTTAAGGTTACAACCCGGGGCTCATTAACCCATGGTTTCCTTGAAGGTCAAGCCTTTGCCCCCGTCTTTTGCTTTACACGCGTCTCACCCGTCTGCGCCGAGTTGCGCCCGGGGCGGCTTCAGCTTGCCGCACTTGGCGCACTTCCTGGCGCTTGCGATCAAATTTCGCGGGTTGTGTCGCGAGCGGGGCGAACCCCTGGATGCTCAGCTTGGAGGTTCGTTGGTTCGTTGCCAAGGTGAGGCAAGTAGGTTGTAACGGTAACTAGGGCAACTGGCTGGTTGGTCCCCTTACCATGGGTATACTCCAGTCACTAAGTTGGTTGAATATGCAAAACAGGCCTTTGTTCGTTCCCCCCTGCCTTTCGAGGGAGGGCTGGAGGGTCCGGGACCCCTTCTTTTGAAGGGAGTCTTCCCCATAGAAGGGAAGATGGAACCACGACTGGAAAGGTTTTTTGTCCCCCCCTTTTCCGGCGTGCGGGGTACTTGGGTGTTCGATTCGCCAGGTGAGTACGCTGGGAGTAACCAAAGTTACCCTACAAGCCCACCTTCCAGGCATATAGCTTGATACATATTCTTCACCATTTTGGAACCCTTTTCTTGCTGTGGGGAAAAATGCTCGAAATACAGTCCCCCTGCCCGAGAAGGAGTTTGCTGCAACTTCTCGGCTTCCTTTGAGGGAAAATGACACATCAGCCTCTCGGCAAACCATGGCTTGGTGCTTGGTGCAACCTTCCATTTGCTTAAGCCCCCTGGAGAAACAAATATTCCCAGCAGTGATGGTTTCCTTTCAAAAAACAAACAGGGGAAAATCAAACTTATTCTTAAACAAACGGAAGCCATCCTTTCCAAGGGGACAGATTCCATCTTCCTCGAAGGCTCTGCGCACCCAGCGCTAGGGGTGCTGTGTGGAGACATGGGGAAACCAGGTCGCGTGCTTAGACCATGACCTAAAATCCAAAGATGGAAGCCAAGAACACGTGGGTCTGAATCCTAATTGGTGGACACCCTCACTTGCCCAAAGGACCCAGAAATAAAAGGTCAACCTTTTGGCACCTCCACTAAAAATGAACCAAAACAGGAAAACCAAAAGGTCAAAAGGTCAAAAGGTCGGCTTTGGGCAACTGAGCACCAGTAAAAAGTGGGTCCCGATCCATGTCCACCACCTTGGAGGTTCCGACTCCGAAGAAATCATTCATGCCAAATGCTTCGAAAACCCCGGCTCCCGTCCCGTCGAAACGGTGACTTTGCTCCAAGCCTCGCTGTCGATCACCTTTTGTAGGCTTCCATTTCTTGTTGTTTTTGTTTCCCCTTCCTTTTTTTTTGCGGGGGGGAGCCCCGTTGGTGGCTTTTCAAGAAAGAATGGACACCCACTTCCCCCTTTTTCTGGGGGGGGGGAGGGGGGTTCCCTAACAAACCCATTCAACCCATTCGTGTGCCACACATATCCGGCTGTCCTCTCCTTTTGGGCCAATTTATGCCGCACCCGATGGAAAAGCCATGATGATACCTAGACCAGGATGTTTGGCCTAACTGGCTAGCCACCTGAGTTACAACCTGAAAAAGTGTTAACTCCATTTTGGGAGATCTACAACTGGGTTATAACTTTGGTTACCGACCCCAGTGCTTTCAGTTACCATTACAATAGATAACCAGGAAAAACCATCATGTCAAACCTGGCACAAAAAGGATCGAAGGTTTACCTACAATGTTGACCCCAACTACTCAACCCCAGTAAATTAATATGGGGGTGGGCGCCTCCAAAAGTAAAAGTGGTCAGAATCCCCCACATATCACCCAGACATGGACCCTATTAATAAACTGGTTGATTCATTTGGGGTCAATATTATGAGTTTTTCAATCGGGGACCCTTTGGTGGGCATCATGTGGTGTTCTAGTGCTACCTTCCCCACTCTTTCCGGAAACCCAGGGGAAACGGATCCGGTTTTCGAAAAGAATGATGGTTGGAAAGAATGGGGAATCAAGCCCTAGAATAAACCCCGAGTGATCCCTAGGAGAAAAAACCCTAGAATCAACCCTTAGAAGTTTCCTCAAACTTGTCACTGGAATCCACCTCCTTTAAGAATCGGTCCATGACCACCCAGTATTTTAGGTAATGGCCAACCATTTTTTATTCGGGTCAGAAGGAGACTCTAGGCACATGATGTAGTCTCCTGAAAACTGGTAGCTGGCATCCACGAAGTTCCCCACTTCACTCCGGGCGGATTGATTCAGCATTCCAAGCGAACTTTCCCGCGCCTCGGAGGAGCCTTGCAGGCTTCGAGCTCCGCCTGCCCGTTTTCAGATCCCGTGCTGAAAGCTTTTAGCCTCTGAAATGAACACTACCACATGTGTTCTCAGCTTAGCTTCTGAAAGTGTTTAGCTTCTGGGTGAAATGGAAACTACCACAAAACCAACCAAAAAACGAAATATGTTCAAAGCTAAGGTGGCTGGGAGCCACCTGGTGATATGGCCGTGTGGCTGAACAAAAACCGTTCAACCCCTCAATTCGCGGCTTGGGGGTGGAAACCAACTCTTCAAGGCCCTTAGTTCATTGGAACTGAACCCCTGGTGCTTGTAGAACCAACCACCCCCCGGATCACCTCCAAGCCAGTCCAAAGGTAGCCACAAAATATATGGGTTTATCCACTGAGCACATGATGAATTACTTGTGTAATTACCTATGTCCAAAGTTGTTGGTTATCTTATTGGTTTGCTTCAATTCGAAGCCTCGCCGGAACCTCTACTTTATTGGCTCCACGTTGGTACCAAACCCACCAGAGGATCGCTGTTAAAAGGAAAATAATGTTGACCCCATATTAATCAACCCCTGTTTATTGATAGGGGGTGTCCCTGGGTTCAGTGGGGAGTCACTTGTGGAGGGGAACACTCCCCCATTCATTAACTGGGGTTGATTAATATTGGGTCAGCATTGTTAGTCTTGCAGGACCCAGAAACCTCAGGTTTCCACGGAAACGCGGACATTTGGATTCACATGTCCAGCTTCTGGCTCTCAATCGCCGCCTGTCTGGGAACCGCTTGATGCTTCTCAAAGGAAGCCCCAAATGGTGGATAGGGACTTCTCCCCTTCCGGGAACAGCAACACGTTGAGGGGTTTTAGGCCTGGGGTGCCTTCCACAGCGCGCTTCTTGCCGTCCCAATCTTTCAGGTACAGCTCAATTGGGGCCACGTGATGTTCAACAGGAAGCTTGAGTGGGCATTCTAGGGTTTGAATCCTTTTTCCTTCTGTTCAACCATCGTTCTAAAAAAGAAGAAGACTGTTTTCCCTGGGTTTACTGTATGGAGGTTTAGAAGGATCCCTGGGCAGCATGGAAATGGAAGGTATGCCTAGAGGCATCCTGCTTCCCCTGCCAGACCGATAATTTGTTTGTCGGCTCACATAGATAGTCTCTAGGTCCTCCAAATTTGAGAGGTTCGAATAATCGGGTACCAACTTTATTCTGCCTATTTTGGTAGGGGAACCCTCCCCCAAACAAGAAACCGTAAAAGGGCACTGGGGGACCTAATAGTGGTGCCAAGGATACGAAAGCAAACATGTCGAGCTCGAGCCCCCTCCAAATGGTTCCGTGTTACTCGCCGTGACTCGTCCAGATTGCAAGCTCACCCGATCCATCCTCGAACTCGGGTGGAATACCGGCGGAGGTCATGACTGCCTGGCGGGGTGACAGAAAGTGACACCCCCAGTGCGGGGTCTGGTGACTCCTGCTCAAAGTCCCTGGTGACAATCCTTGAGAGGGTCTGTGGGTCTCTGGTGACGACCCCAGATGGTAAAATTCCCAAAACTGATTCCTCTGCTTCAGCACTTGTTCGGCACGAAACCGTCAGGACCCCGCAACGGAGTGGGCCTAAAAAAGGGTTAGTCTTCCAAGGATCTTTGCGTAGGTAACCCTTCGCCATTGTCCAGATGTTTTGGTTCCCTTGGTCACCTACTTTTTAGCTCAACGAAATCAGTGGGCCTTGTATGTTGTTTTTTTCTTTTATAAGCCAAAGTTTTGTGCCACAAGCGGTAGTCGTGCGAAGCAACCCAACCCAGCCTTGGCATAATTGTACAGCCTTAGTGACTTCCCAGATCCGAACCGTATCGCGAGCAGAAGGCTATAGGATCAAGTATATAGGCTAGGTCCTCCAGTAGAGAGATTAGAACAAGGGTACCCTTTTTTTCTGTAGTCTGTTTTAGTAGGGGAACCCTCCCAACCAAAAAAGAAACGGGTGAGAAAGGGCCCCCTTTCGCTGGGGGACCTAGTAGGTAAGACGAGATCTCAGTGCCAAGCTCTTGCTCCAGTCTGGGTATGAATTTCCATCGTGGCCACCAATCACTTTGAAGGGGCCCTTCCCTACTGCGGATGGACGAAATCCATGTCGCACCACCTGAGAAACGTTGGAATGATGATTCCACTGCAAACACCAATCAATGGTTTCCTATGGTTTCAAAGGGGTACGAAATGGATTTCGTCCTGCCACAGCATGAACATTCATAGCCAAGTCTTCAAACTGCCAATTTGCTCGAAGAATCGTCTGTCTTCATCCCGCGAAAACTCGGGTCAAACATGTTGCTGAATCCTACACCAAGACTCCCTTGAGGATGCACCCAAAAAATGACCGGAGGATGCTCTAAATCAGATAGTATTCGTGTGACATTCAAATGGACCAAATGTACCCATTACTTAGGATGTACCAACTCAACCACTGGCCTCATTATTTGACCATGACCAAAGTCACCCCCCAAGTCCCCCAGGAACCGTCAAAATAATGACCCCGGTAAAACTCAGGCTATAACCGTGGTCATTGTTGGGGTACATGGGGATACATGCAAGTCGTCCCCTTGCAACCATACTTACTGCGTTGGTTGAACATCCCTAGGTCCTCCAGTAGAGAGGTTAGAATAAGGGCGCCCTTGTTTCTGTAGTCCATTTTAGTAGGGGAACCCTCCCAACCAAAAAGGAAACGGGTGAGAAAGGGCACGATCCTGGGGGACCTAGATCCGCTCACGCCCTAGGCGCGAAAAATCGTCCAAACTTTTCGTCCGCTATGGTCCAAGCCCAAAAAGTCTCAAGTCCAGGACAGCCCTAGCCCAAGACCTCAGAAATTTTGAGGCTCAGGCCCCTGTTGATTAATGCGGTTGATCAAAAGATCCGAGCAAGAGAGAAAAGGGAACCAACCAAAAAGGGTCCAAGTAAGAGACCCTCCACACCTCACTTCCGTTTCGCTTCAGACATCTTCAGACGCTTCACGCCGGGCAGCGCGTTGGTCAGCAAGAAGACCCCCACCATGGAGATGGCCACAGCACCCGGCTGCCCCACCTCTTTGGCCATCTCAGCGAAACCGTACCAGAAGTAGGTGTAGGTCACGAAGCCTCTCAGAGACACAGGTCAAGGTACTTCGTAAGTTAGTAAGCCTGGTTATGACCTTAGGAGACTGACAACCATGGTAGGTGGGTGACAACCAGGCTTGCCAAGCACTTCAATTCAGTGATCCACTTTTTGACAAGACTTAAACTTAGGGGTCGTTGATTCCCCCAGCGAAGATCCTGGGATAAAGTCTACCTTTGGGTAATCAAAAAGTGGAGCCTCCAGTTCCGTGAAACCAAGCGACACAAAGAACCGGGGGATTCGGACGCGCACTGGGCAGGGACACGTGCGCCACATACACGACTACATTTACATATACAAACATGTATATGTATATGTATCTATGTACATATGTATTTATATATATATATAACTTCATATTACTGTCTGTGTACACACACACTGGTCAGTATGCAGAAATAATGTAACATCTGCATATATATATATATACAAATACACATACACCATGTGTAGTATGTGTATATATATATATATATATATTGATATTTGTCAATTTATTACTAGAAGGCGCAATGTGATATATATATATATATATGCACAACGCAACGGTGTGGTCTCCAAATATCTCACAAGTGGTATGTGCCTCACGGACACACTGGCAACTGTACTTGTTTGCGAGCGGAGGGCGATCGCTATGGCGCCATATTTCGTCCACCGAGAAAACCAACACAAACACAAAAAGACATGAATCCAGTACACTATGTCGTCGGAGCACCCCACAACCCCACTTCATTGCCTGGGCCCACAAAGGACCGATTCCTTTTTCCTGCCTTTGTATCAATGAGGTCCTCCAGTACAGAGGTTAGAATGAGGGTACCCTTTTTTCTGTAGTCTATTTTAGTAGGGGAACCCTCCCCCAAAAAATGTTAAAAGGGCAATACTGGGGGACCTAGTCAATTTATGCTCACTTCGGCCGGACTTTTCGGGTCAAGGGGAGTCCAGGCCGGCGAGACCGCCGCATTTTTGCCTATGAGGCTGAGCGCCAGCAGCACGAGGCACGGGCCCACGATGCGCATCACCACGTGGAAGACCCTGGAGCCGATCGGATCAAGCCGGCAGGCAAGCGACGAAGGTGTGGAAGGCCCAGGGAACTGGAAAGTGCCAAGGTGAAAGCAAACCATGAGGCAACATATGGAACCATAGGGAACTGAAGCGAAGCACAAACCATACGGAACCAAGGAAACAAAAGGAAACCATAAGGAAACATATGAGTCACAATCAAAGCCCGGTATTCAAATGGCCTACCCAAACCAATGTAAAAAACTACAAAGGCGGCGGCACCTAATTCTGGTTGTGATTGTCTCTTACTACCCTCCAATTACCGGGTTTTGATTGTGACTCATATGAAATCAAAAGAAACCAAGGGGACGAAGGAAAGTGGCACTTAAGAGCCTTACAACGGCTTAAGTGGGTTCTCTCACCATGCTTATTTTCCACTTACCTGACAGTTACCCTGCCTCGATCGCGCCCCCTCGACTCAAATGGGGAATGAGGGAATGAGACCTATAAACCCCCCCCCCCGATTTGGTTTCCTTTCAGGGAGTCCCAAAACGGTTCATTCCTAACACCCGGACTCGGCCCTAGGTCCTCCAGTAGAGAGGTTAGAATAAGGGTACCCTTTTTTTTGTACTCTACTTGAGTAGAGGAACCCTCCCAACCAAAAAAGGGGTAGAGAAGGGCACTACTGGGGGACCTGGCGGTCATTCCCTACCTATCGCATCAGCAAGTCGTTGCATCTTTGACTTGACAACTCCCCTTCAAACTCGTGTGCCCAGATGCTGGTACCCCGAAAACAAACACACACACACAGACACACAGACACAAAGACACACAGACACACAGACACACAGACACACAGACACACAGACACACAGACACACAGACACACAGACACACACACACACACCCACACACACACACACACGCGCACACACACACACACAAAACACACACCTGAGGGTCCAAGCACCCTACTGATTTAACATCAGAAGGGTACTTGGACCCTCTGAGACACAAGGAAACACAACACACACACACACACACACACCAAGCCACGCGCGCGCACACACACACACCAAGCCACACACACAGGGGAAGCATTCAGACATCAAATATACAGGTCTGTGTTACAGAGAGTACCTTCAATTTCAGCTTGGTCTCAAGGTAAACCCCCATACACTCACGTCCCGAGTGGATTGGCCAAACCAAGTTCAAGTTGTGAGTATCTGCTTGCTAATACAATGGTTTTCCCATGTTTGTTTGAAGAAGAAACAAAAGGCATTCAGGAAGTAAGTGCCCAAACCCTCAAGCTTCCTGTAAAAATGGGGCAGTTGCCCCAAAATCCATGCGGCGACTTCCCATTTTGAGGGTGGGTGCGGGCTCCTCGAACTTGGATCGACCAACTTATTTCCCCTTCAAACATCACCCCCCAGGGCTGCTCACCTTTGGACCAAAAAGCTGAGGTTCAAAACCACCAAGGGGGAAATCTAGGGACCCCTCAACCTACCTACCCCAGTTGGTACATCCAAGAACGGTCCTCCTCATTCACAAACCTCGCATCCACATGTGCGCTCGATGCGCATGAATCGCCTTTGGCCCATGCGGACCGTGCTGTCGAAGAGGCGCATCATGTCGCGGCTCGCCTCTTTCCGGCGGGGGGTTCACCCAGACCCACAGGGTCGACTGATGCCAAGCACGCATACCCACGTGAGTACACTCCCACAAATTCTGGTACCATCTGAGGATGTGCTTTGTGTTACAAGGGGTTAAAGCAGCAAAGTGCGCCCTTACCCAGGCCCCATATGCTTCCAGTGGGTTTGGCTCTTTCGGGAAATCGTCACAAACTCAAATCCGCGAAGATAGTTTGGTACTTGGACGGACCATTTGAGACCATACGCTGAATTAGGGGTAGCTTGGAGAGTGGGTGTCCGAATGTTCCTACTTGGGTGCTCGGCCGAGTTAGTAAGTTGTGAACCTAAAATATAACCCACTCATCAGCTTAGTAAGTGGAATGAACTTTGTTGTTAGCGGGGTATAAGCTAGGTGGCTAGGTAATTACCTTACCACCTTGGCCGAACATCCAAGTAGCAATCGTTGAAGGAAGATTCGGAAACCGATCCTCCAATTATTGCAATTTGGCTGTGGCTCCAAAAACCGGAATTCCAAAATGGGAACCCTGGTAAGTGGAAACATGGACCAAAACCTGCGGTTTGCCCCTCTGATCGTTTAATTTTGAGCCACACCCATTGGTCATGGTGGGGAGGTGTATGGTTGGTTTACTTGCAATGGGCCAGGGGCAGCCACCTCAGCTTCTAATGATTCTACTCTTCTTATGATTAAAAAAAAAAACTATGACCCCGCTGCTTCTCTAGAGAAAAGCACCCTTTGAAGAACCTGCATGTTTATATTAGCTCTCAAACCTGAGATAAGGGATCCCCTTTAGCACGGGGTCTTTGTGGTGAGCTCTGTTGACCCCCCCGCTGGTCTGGGCTCCGTGGCTGATTACGCTTGAAAACCACCAATTTGTTGGGGGGGGTCTTCTAACCGGAAAACTGTGTTGTTGTTGTTGGCTTTTTTTGGGGGGTCCGATTCCGAAACCAAGACACACCCAAATCCATACTTAGTTACAATCCAGAATCAAATCTGTCGCCGGGAAAACACACAACTAAACCCAGGTGGTATCCCCAACAGCCCCGGAGTCCCTGGAACCCTCCCTGAAAACTGCCCCAACCAACCCCAGAGCCTATCTGGACCTACCAACCTCAAAGATTCCAGCTAAGAAAAAACATGAGTGTGTCTTGTTTGGAAGGGTCCCCCGCTTATGTGAGCGTAGAGGCAAAACGAAACCAAAGAAACGGCCATGCGTGGGAATTGATAGAAACGACCCATTAAACAAGTGGTAGAAAGGCAGAAAAGGAGTCGGCTGCCCTTTGTCAGTAGGGATTGACAGTTGGGGAAGCCCCCAATCAAACATTGGTAGACAATTGCTAGAAAGGGTTCTACTGAGCAACTTAGTTTGTTGATATCCCTAAAACCACGCCAACAAGCCGCTATGCTCCAAACAACACGCGGCCATGCGACCAAATCCGCTTCTTCCATTTGTCAAGGCCCCTGGGAAAAAATGAAAAGCATATTTCCAGTAGTGATAAATTCCTTATGGGGTTCTTAAGGGATGGGGGTGTAAGGGGAGGGTAAGTACAAGCTTCCCTAGCGCTTCCTAGAGCTCCTTAGCCAACCCTAGCACTCCCTCCCCGAAAACCCCAACCCTAGCACTCCCTCCCCAAAAACCCCTAAAGGTCCCCAAAATATCCTCATAGGCTCCCTTAAGCTCCTGCGCTTCCGCTTTGATTGTGGCTAGGTTGGGTTGGGGCTTTATCCCCTCAGCTGCGAGCGCTGGCCAACCCAGAATTCAGCGAGAATGCAGTTTGAAAGGGGAGGAAGGGAAGCTTGGGGAAACTCTGAAAATTTATTGGGAGGCTTAGGGAGTGCTTGGGGAAGCTTGGGGAGCCTTAGGGAAGCCTGGGGAAGCCTCGAGAATAGAAATCGCACAAAAATCGGCTTAACTTGCGTTGTAATAGACAAGCAAAGAACGGAGTGCTTTGCCAAGAGACTAGTGGGCGGGCAAACGGGATGAGGGTTGAGCCAGATTCAGGATTTGAACCCTGGGCCTAGGGCTCCCTAGTCCACCTCAATTTACCCCCCCCTTTTACCCCCCTGAAGAACCTCATAAATTCCTTTTAAAACCAACAAGGGAAAATAATGTTTAACAATAATAATGATAAAGGTCATGATGGTGATAATAATACTAATAAATAATAATAATAATAATAATAATAATAATAATAATAATAATAATAACAATAATAATAATAATAATAATAATAATAATAATAATAATAATAATAATAATGATAATGATGATGATAATAATTCCACATAGTAATAATAAGACTAACAACAATAAAATAATAATAATAATAAACAATAATAATGATAATAATAATAATAAAAATCAAGAACAATAATCATAATACTAATAATACTGATAATCATGATAATAATAATAATAATAATAATAATACTAATAATAATAATAATAATAATAATAATAATAATAATAATGGTAATACTAATAATAATAGTAATAATAATACTGATAATAATAACAATAAGACATTTATAATAATAATAATAATAATAATAATAATAATAATAATAATAATAATAATAATAATAATAATAAAGAACAATAATCATAATACTAATAATACTGATAATAATAATAGTAAGCAATAATTATAATAATAATAAACCAAAACAAAACATATTCTATCATATTCTTTAAGCACATGGAGGATTTTAAACCCAAGCAGAGCCGAGCAGCTCTCTTGAAGGCGATGCCGGCAGTGCTGCGTGCGTGGTCCCTGTCATCCTCCTCATCCCCCACATGCGCGTCCTCGCACGCCTGAGGGGGCGTCACACGGAATTCGTGGCGTGACGGGCGAAGGGACAAGCTGCTTCCCCAAGAAGAAATGAGTAACCAAACTTAGTATACATGCCACCAAAAAGGTCTTCCCAAACCCAAAAAGTGACTAAAGTCCATGAACTCAGGAATTGAGATGAGGAATATTGTTTTTGCCCCACCTGAGTCACAATCAAAACCCCGATATTACAATGGTTTACCCAGAACCCTGCTTCAAGAATTAAGAAGGCGGCCGCAACTATTTCTGGCTGGGACTGCCTCTTACTAACCTTCATCTACCTGGGGTTTGATTGTGGCTCAAATGGGAAAAGGGAGAGGGGCCGCTGGTATTCTAAAGGGAGACTTGGGTGCCCCACTCCCCAAACATCCCCAAGAAAGGGCGAGAGGCCGCTGGTTGTTGGCTCGGTAACTTGGGTGGCCCTTTTCATGTCTTCCCCAAACCAACTAAACTGCAAATCAGATTGTCAGTTGCTCATGCACCCCCCCCCCCCTCCGCGTGGTTGCCAGTTGACGCACGGGAAAACATATTGTTCGAAGCCATTCAACAGCTTCTTCTTTGAGGGGGTCCAGCTCTGGTGTCTGAAGGATATCTCCGTAGCACCCCTCCTGGTTCGAACAGGTCTCTCTTGAAGAAAAATAAACATGCACTGCCCCCCCCCCAAAAAAAAAAAAGAAGTGGATGAAATTGGGTGTTCTGTTGGAGGCCCGATACCCGGAAAAGGGAAGCAAACCCAAAAACAACGACGCACACATTTGCTATTTGCTTGCATAGAAGGTAAGGCAGCCACCCTTGAAAAAACATCACAATGGCTGGATACCTGCATTTGTGACCGGGATCTGGAAACGCAACCATCACCTAGGAACTCCTCTCAACTTTGATTGCCAAAGCACCAGCTTCCCATTGCCAAAATGGCCGGGCAACCTGATCTTCTCAACTGCCTCAATGAAGGGACCCTCCGTCCGGGCTGTCAGATCCCCGGCAAGTTTAGCTTGTGGGTTGAATGGAAGCCCACAACTAAACCCCAAGAAACGGAACATTTAAGAAACCGGGCGATGTGCGAACCGCCAGCTGTCAGCCCAGCCCCCCGCATTTCTGGGGTTCAAACAACCATTCAAACAACGGTTGGGTTCAGCCTTCATATACCACCACCGTCTAACTAAGGATTGTCATACAAATTGGCTCCGGTTCCTTGGTTGCCATTCTTTTCATGGGCATCGGAATCGGTGGACCCCGGGCCGATCGGTCTGCCAAGTCACTGCCCCCACCACCTTCCGGCGAGGCTCTGCCGCCATGGCCCATCGACGAAATGGACGCGGCGCTGGGATTTCAGGGGGGGGGGGGTAGGTGCCTTTCACCCGGGCTGAGGCGAAGGGGGCGTGTGACCATGGCGATTGCTGGGAGACCTTTGAGGATAGAAATGGATGCAAAGCATCTCTGACTTTCAGGCTAGAATGATTCACTCATGGAAAATCGGGGGAATCCCGATGGCAAGAGGCACCTCATGCGGGTCGCAAACCAAAATCCGGTACGGTCGCGAGCTATGCCCAAACTGGCGCGGTTGAACCAAGTCCGTTCTATTTGGCTTATGTTTTCTCTGACTCGAGCAAGATGGCCGTGCAGATTGGCATGCTTGGCTGCCGGTCGCTCCGACCCAATCGGTGCAAAGGTAGATATAATCCAAACCGAAAGCTTGACTTGGGTATCCTTTAAGGATGGATTTCTGGGTCTGAAAAGGGGTCATTTCGCACCTGAGAAGGTTCCAAGACACCGGACTTCTGTCAAATGGTCCCAGACAAGCCCAAAGAGATCATCATTTGGCAGCTGTTGGGTGTTCGCACCCTCGTGCATTTGGGTGTCTAAATGGAGGGACCCAACACAGCGCCTTTCCTGTTGGTTTCCTTACCAACCTCACACAGGTACCTTGGACACGCACACAGACATCCCACATTGGGGGTACCCAAATACGAATACGTGCCTGGAGTCTCCATGACCCCTAGAAAAAGATCATCATTTTGGGTAATGACATGGAGACTCGGTTGCTTTCTGCTCCCCTGCTAAAAGTTTTTAACTTTTAGTGGTTTAGTTCGGAAAACTCATTAGTTGGCAAAAAGTTCTCAAGTCCTAACAGCCCTGGGCAAAATGCACCAAAGGAGACTCCAGCTGGTTTTAGTTCACATTTCGGCTAGCCTTAAATATAACCCCAGGCCCCAAGCAGCAGGTAACCCAGAAAAAAACATGGGCACTGGGCGCCCGTGCGCGCAGGACATGGATGAGCACATGCTTTCGGTTGGCGCTGTAGACCTTAGAAAGCGCCAACATGCGAAAAAGGGTGGTTGAAGCCAGTATGGCTGTGGGTCAAAAAAACAGCACCAAAATTGGTTGAGGACTAAAACCTGCGGTTTTTTGGTGGCTTAATTTTGACCCATACCCGTATCAAGAATATATAGACCCCTAAATAAGAGGGGGGGGGCCTGCTTCTACCTGGAGTCTCCATGACCCTTTGAAAATGGGTCAATGACCCCATTATTTTGGCTAATGACCCCATTCTTTAAGGGTCATGGAGACTCCAGGAAACAAAGAGGGGGGTGCCCCTTTTTCTAGAAGGCAGTCCTATACCTCTGAATCTGAAAGGCCTATTATGGCTTATTTATCTGGGGTCGCTGCGCTGCATCTTCTGTCTGCGCGCCATGTGTTGCTTTTCGGGACGGTTGAACAGGGCAGGGGGGCTGAACAGCCGGGTCCGTTCGTTAAATCCAAATTACTGGGTTCATTAAAGTGACATTCTCAAAATGACCCTCTTGTTGGCGGTTTCAACGGGACACTCAAAATGAGGGGTGTCATTTCTTGAGGACACCCGCCTTGTTTTTTGTGATTTTGAACAAACACCACCTGTTCTGGGGGGCCCTCCCCCCAAAAACAAGACACACCCAATTGCAACCACCTTCATAAACATGATTAGACTTAGGCCCAGTTATAGAATGTATATTCTATTGTTTGCTTCCCTTTGAGTCACTGGTAAACTGTAAAATGTATCCTAAGTCTAACCCAGCATAGATTCCTTCCGCCGACTTCCGTGACTCATTTCCTGAGAGCTTGGGCCCCAGGGCGCCGCTTGGCGAGTCATCGATCGACTACTCCGGGCTGAGCCTGCGGCCGGCGGCAACGAGTCGGGCAGCTTCTCGCCACAGAGCTTCTCGATCAGAGGCTCGCCTCGCGTCTGACGGGTTGCCGAAGCGTCTGACGTCTGATGTGGATGGATTTGCGAGAAACAAAAAACCTGATTGGTTGACACGAAAACACTCGCTTGCTCTTTTGGGGCCCAAACATAACAGGTTAACCTTTTGGGACCCAAGCTACACATGAGCCAACATGGGAACACCAAAAGGTCAAAAGGTTGATTCGGTTTGGAAAAGCGAGACAATGGAAGTAGTGAGACAAACAAATTATGTGTATACCTAGACCCTCAATCACCCTTCGTTTTTGGGGTGGTTCTGTGTTGCATTCATTTTTGGGGTGTTTTGTCATTTTTTGGGGGTGTTAGTTCCATGTTTGGGTGTTTTCGTTTTTCCATGCGCTGCTTTGTCAACCCTGCAATTTCGCGAGCAGTGTGTTTAACTTGTTTGAATTAACAGCGTTGTTGTTCACTGCGCAGGGCTTGCTTGAAAGATACAAGTGCCAAGTCAAGCAGCGGCGCGGACCTTGCTGTCACTCAATGTCAAACCTCCAGGTTCAGCTTAGCTGCGCAATGCCTTTGATGTTGGCATGGAAGAAATCATCAAACATAATTTGACCTTGGCCCAAACGGCTTGAATGCCAACACAACACAAGGGAAAACGTTATTAGCCTTTCATTTTTGTGTGAGAAAAGCATTTGTGAGTTGCACAAGATAAGAAGGCTGCTCCGTTGCGTGCTGCCTAGTGTTGGAGCCGATCACTGAGCCGCAAGGCATCCAAACCAGGTTTCCTTTGGAAGCGAGCAGGTGGCTTGGTGCACCACAACTCAAACTGATGTTTAGGAGGGCGCTGCGACAATGCAAAGAACCAACATCCCTTAAAACAGGAGTTAGACAGTTGGAGTTGTTTCTTCTAGTGTGTGCGGTGTGCTTTGCGCGGCACACATCACAAACGGTCTTTCATGGCAAAACCCGGTCTTCTAATGGCTTGAAACAGTGTGTCATGCGCAGTTCACCGCATGTTCATGTAATGTCACTCTACTTTCACGACTGTAGAGTCCAAGAAGGAATAAGTTCAATGAACAAATATTGTCGCACCAAATTCAGAAGGATAGCTTTCGCAGATTTTGTAGCAGCGCGATGGGAGTGATTCCGTATTTGTCCACACTCTGTGCCTTTGGGCCATGTGCCCAATATTGCTTCAAACTACAAACAACACAAGAAACATCTTAATTAAGCATGATGTACAATACTTTGCAAATTCGGGTATGTTCTGTTTCACCATGCCTCCTAGATAATGAAGTTCACATGTTGCTTCAACGGTGGTTCTCTGGCTAATGCGACTCAGCGCAACATGTACCAGTTGCCGTTAAAGTTGATGTCCTGAAGCAAGCATACAGCCAAAGGGTCCAGTCTTTATATGATAGCAGGCAAGCTTGCAACACCTGCTATTCTGCGAACAGTAGCTGTCACTAGCAATTGAATGGTCGTTCCGTAAGCTCAGTATTCTGCGAACAATAGCTGCCACTGGCAATTGAATGGTCGTTCCGTAACGTCCACCTAGGATTAAACATTGCACCTGGAATAAAGACAAACGGGTGGCCCCCCCCCCAAAAAAAATGCACCTGGAATAAAGACAAGCACCCGCCACCCCCGCCCAAATGTTCTGAACAAAAAATATAAGGAACATGACAAAATGGAACAAAAAGAAAAAGAAGAGGAGATGTAGCCAAGCCAACACCTGGTCCTTAGATCTTTGGTACCTTGTTCTTCAGCTCCCCAAAAATCAAACTGTCCAGCTGCCCAAGAAGTCATGGTTTCTTACGTGTCTCTTGCTTAAAAACTGCCCGCAATCAAACCTGCAAAGGGGGTGGGTAGTGCTTCAGGCCCCCAAACTTGAGCCCAAGACTTTATTTCAGGGGCCCCTACAATAAAGTCTTGTTGTTTGGCCCACTGCAAATATACAACTAGCCCAGCGTAACTACCTATGAAGCTTCGGGCTTTGTTGTTAGATTTGGGCCTGCTTCCCAAAATCAAACATGTCCAGCTTCCCCAAGCTCTTGTTTTCTTGCATGTCTCTTGTTTAAAAACTGCCTACAACCAAACTCACAAACAACCTAGTAGTTCAGAAACTTCACCCCCAATTTGACATTATTTCAACGGCCCCTGAAACTCAGTCTTGTTGCCTGCCCGCGGCTGCCCGCGTCAAAAAAAAAAACAAGAGGAAGCTCCAGCAATACAAAATCAAATGGAAAATAAGTTCCAGATCTCAAAAGGAAGCTCCAGCAATGCAAAATCAAATAGCAACTCAATTCCAAATCTCAAAAGGAAGCTCCAGCAATACTAAATCACACGGAAACTCAGTTCCAGATCTCAAAAGGAAGCTCCAATGCTAAATCAAATGGAAACTCAATTCCAAGTCTCAAAAGGAAGCTCCAGCAATACTAAATCTTATGGAAACTCAGTTCCAGATCTCAAAAGGAAGCTCCAGCAATGCTAAGTCGAATGGAACCAATTTCCAAATCTCAAAGGAAGCTCCAGCAATACTAAATCAAATGAAAACTCAGTTCCAGATCTCAAAAGGAAGCTGCAGCAATACTAAATCAAATCGAAACTCCATTCCAGATCTCAAAAGGAAGCTCTAGCAATACTAAATCAAATGGAAACTTAAGCCTACCAATACTAAAGCGAACGGAAGCAAAATTGAACTGGATCTCAAGAGATTATTCTAGGCACCCCCTTTGTTGGGGGGGAGAGGGCCCCCCCTTTACTACTCCCAGGCGGACATTACTCCGAACAAAGACCATTTGAAGGACATTACTCCGAACATAGTCCGGATAGGTGGACAGGGTCCGCCGGACCGGTTGGACGGCCCGGACGGCGGGTCCGGACGGGTCTGGATAGGTCCGGACGGGCCCGGACTATCAAAAAAAGGTGTTTTTTTCCAAAAAAGGTGTTTTGGTTCGGACTAGTCCGGGACGGACGCTTAAATACGCCTTTTGGACGCCTAAATACGCCTTTTCGGACGCCCCGCTGGACGCCCAAAACAAAAAAAGGTGTTTTGGATAGAAAAAAGTTTTGTTGTATGTTTTTTCTCGTCCGGACGCGTCCGGACGCGTC